CCTTCGCTGCAGCGGCCTCTCAGTGCTGTTACGAGTCAAGTACAAGTTGCGAAAGCATCAAAAAGCCAAAAGCACCGTCCCCAAGATGTTCCAGGATGTTGTCCGCAGGCACCCCGACAAAGTGGCACTGATTTACGAGGCCACTGGTGAGCAGTGGACCTTCAGGAGGCTGGACGAGTACTCCAACGCCGTGGCTAACTACTTCTACCAGCAAGGCTTCCGGCTGGGGGACGTCATTGCCATCTTCATGGAGAGCCGCCCCGAGTTTGTTGGCCTCTGGCTAGGGATGGCGAAAATCGGCATCGAAGCGGCTCTAATCAACTTCAATTTGCGCTTGGATTCTCTGGTTTACTGCGTGACGACTTCTGGTGCGAAAGCCATGATCTTCGGAGGGGAGCTGTCTTTGGGTGAGTTTGTACGCCTTGCGGGCAGCCCGTGAACTGTTCGCTTGGTCCCGAATAATGCGGAGATTGAGTAAACTAAAACCAAAAAGGCAGCTGGCTGTGTTAAAAGCTAGAGAAGATAGTAAACCTCCCGATTACAAAAGGCAGAAGCGTTCAGTTAGTATCTGAGGCTAAAAGAGGAGCGGTGTTTTGAGTAGAGCGCTCAGGAGCTCGGTTTCATGTGCCGGCATCTTCCTGATTTCGTGGTGCCCGAACTGAGCTCGCTGATTTGCTCTTGTTTCATTGGATCTGGAGGGGCTGCATTGAGGGTCTTGTGCTTCATCAGGAAGCAGTGATACGTGCTGCCGGGCATGTTTTTGGGCCGCCACGCATATTTTTGGGCCACTGGGCATATTTTTCTCTTTTGCTGCGTTAATACTCTTTGATTAATGCCGCGCTTTCCGCTGCAGGACAGGTTTGTCGGTGGATGCTGGTTTTAAATACATCCCTGCTTCTCTAACGAACCCTGTTCCGATGGTTATTGTTAGGTCTGGTGGTTTATTATTCTGAATCATGTCCTTGAAGCCATTCTAGACCATTTGAAGATCACGACGTGGTGGGTCATGGGAAGAGGCGGTTTTGCGTAGTTTTTTTGTTAGGGTTTTTGCTGGGGCCAGGTCAGTCTGACCGCGCTGATGCGGATGTTATCTGCATGGGTGCGACGTAGGTATTTTAAAGGCGTCCCTGGTTCTTCAGGTCCTTCTGTGGTTTTTGAGGCACGGTAGGATATTATACAGATTGTTTTTGCCGCTGCCTAGAGCGTTACGTTTGTTGCAAAAGCGACTTGCTTTGTCTCGCAGCAATATCTGAAGTGAATGGGATGTTGGGGAAGAACATGGCGAAGTTCTGCTCCGGTGACTACAACCCAGAGGTTGTTCCTGTGGAGACCAGACATCTTGATCCTCTTCTGAGCACCGCATCGAAATCGCCCCCGACTCAGATTCCAGTCAAAGGCTTAGATGGTAATTTTATCGATGATTTTTATTGCTCAGTGTGATCTGTGCGAGAGCTGGGCTCAGTGACAGCAAAATGAGAAAACTAAGCAAGATGGAGGGATTAAATCAATCCAGTTTGGGCTCAGAAATAGAAGAAAGGAGGGAAAAAAAAAAAAAAAAAGATCCTGGTTCTCTGGTACTCTGGGTTAAGTTTCTCATTCTCGGAGACTCCTGAGCTTTACGTGACTCGTGTTTAGTACCTGAGGAGGGAGGTTGGTGCCTTCCCAAAGATGACTCTTCCCTTACAGGAGAACGGCCGCTGGAATGCATGTGGGGTGAAGCAGCCGGCCTGCCCGGACTTACCCCATGCTTCACTAGCTCTGCGAGTCTGTCCGATTTGTCTGTAGCATTTAACAGCCCGTACTGCCTTCCCCACAGCTGGCTCGTGTGCGATTAAAATCTTTCCTTGTAATAAGCCTGTGGCGAGGATGAGTATTGGTGGGTTTGGGATTCAGGAGAGGGAAAGGAGGAAGATGCTAACTGGCCTCCGGTCTGTATTTCGTACTTGAAGACGATTAAGCCTATCTGAGATCCCTGAGGCGTGAGACTCCATTTTGGTACTTTGTTTACAGTAGGAGGAATGATGCTCTGAAGAGGCTTTTCCTTTCGATTATATTTTTTAATCATAGAGTTAGATACCTGCCCTACTGTCAGAGACAGGTCGAGACCTTTCTTCTCGATTGATTTGGAACTAACGCCTGACCCAGGGAGCTAATCTAGTCCCAGGACAATTTGCGTAAAGGCATACAGGTCATGTCCTCCGAGCTCCACAAACTCTTTGTTACGTGTTCCTGTATTCACCGTTACGGACAACACGCAGGTTCTCCGTCAGGCTGCAACTCCGCGTTTGTGTCGGCCTTCGCAGCTCGCTGACCCCTGTGCTGTCACCGTTCCAAAGCCGTTCCTCAGCCGCTGGGAACAAAGCCTAAAACACAAAACAAAGCCTAAAACACAAAACAAACCCTGTGGGGATTTTCTCAGGCAGTTGAGAACAGTCCGTCTGATGCTTGTTTCCATTTTTCTAGATCGGCTCTTCTATATCTACACTTCAGGAACAACAGGAACGCCAAAAGCTGCCATTGTGGTGCACAGCAGGTGAGGACCCGAGGAGGTATTTCCCTCTCGAGGCGCGTTTCACATCACGAAACTCCAAGCTTTACCCGTCTCGCTTGCTCAGCGTGCGCTGTGTTCTTGCAGGTATTACCGTATCGCTGCCTTTGGTTACTATGCCTACAAAATGCGCCCGGAGGACGTCCTCTACAACTGCCTCCCGCTCTATCATTCCGCAGGTAAGCATCCTCCCTCCTCGGAGGCGGAGGGAAGGCGTTGGCCTCCCCCCTGCCTGCTCTTTCCTGTGTCCTTGTGAGTGAATGGAGCCAGGACGGTCAGAGCTATCCCTGTGATCCCTGTTTTCCAGGTAACATCATGGGAGTTGGCCAGTGCCTAATCCACGGCCTCACCGTGGTGATCAGGAAGAAGTTCTCGGCCAGTCGCTTCTGGGACGACTGCATGAAATACAGATGCACGGTGAGGGCTCTGCGGTCGCTATCTTTGGCGCTCAACTGGAGAGCGCCGGCTTTGCCGCTTCATTATTGATCTCCAGATAATCCCCCGTCCCTCATGGGATGTCGAGGTGCCCAGGCCGTGGCGTCTTCAGACTGCCAGTGCCGCTTTAGGCACGCAGGACTTTAGAAAAGGTCTTTCATCCATCTTTTTCTCCTTCCTCTTTGTAAAGCTGTCAGGACAGGCTTTTAAAACACAAGTTTGCATCCCTTCCTGTTGCGGGAGAGCACTGCCAGAATTTCTCTGTATTAGGAATCTCCGCAGAGGAATTCTCTTGGCAGTTCGTAGCCAATAAACATCCATTTATGTTTGTGTCAACGTTACCTTCTAATTTAAGCAGCTCCCTGGTGTTTATCTTGCCCTTCCCCCACCGGCTGTATTTAGAGCTGGTAACTGGATCTCCACTCTGAGTGCATTTTGCTGGCTCAAGCTGTTAGTTTATGATTGACCGCTCATTCCTCTAATCTTTCTAGAGGTCTTTTAGTCACCTGTTAAAGCACGAGGGTTTTTCTTTATACAAGTATCGTTATTTGCACTGAGGGATTCCTCCTGTGCTCTTTTCTGGTGCTAATGTGTGGGTTCCAGAGGGCAATAACTGGTTTACCTTTTTTTTTTCTTTTTTGTGGCAAGAAATCCCCACTTGAATTTGCAAAACCTCAGAATTTATTAAAATGCCTGACGTGTCTAGTTCCACGAGGTACACTGACACCAGTGGCCTCGTGGTCGGCTTTTTCCAGGGCGTTGTAAGGGTCGCCTGAAGCCTGAGCTATGTTTTTGTGTTTACTGCTTCAGATTATTCAGTATATCGGGGAAATCTGCAGGTATCTTCTGAATCAGCCGGTCCGAGAGTCAGAAACCCAACACTGCGTGCGGCTGGCAGTGGGCAATGGTTTGAGACCCACCATCTGGGAGGACTTCACAAAGCGCTTCCGAGTTAAGCAGATCGGAGAGTTCTATGGAGCCACGGAGTGCAACTGCAGCATTGCCAACTTGGATGGAAAGGTGAGGAGGAAGAGGGTGCCGTGACAGCCGGGAGGAGCGCGCAGAAAGGAGAAAAAGCTCCGCTGGCTTCTCCGACTCCTCTGAGTCCTCACGCAAGGGATGGCAGGGAGCTAAATTGGTAATTAGGGGTGCCATGCACAAACACCTGGGGGGTTGGGAAATTAAGATTTTTTTTAAATCTTAATTTTGGGTGAATTTTCCTTGTTAAATGGAAAGGGAGGAAAGATCAGAGAATTCCCAGAAAGCGGTAATGCAAAACCCAGGCTGTTCTCTTCAGCCTTTTAGGTTTTGGGTTTGTTTTCTTTTTTTTTTTTTCCCCTCCCTGTCTTTTGGAAGGTTGGTGCCTGTGGTTTCAACAGTCGGATTTTGCCCAATGTTTATCCCATTCGGTTGGTGAAGGTAAATGAAGACACGATGGAGCTGATCCGGGATTCCAGTGGGCTGTGTATCCCCTGTCGCCCAGGTGAGCATCAACCCAAACAAATCAATCACAGCTTTTTGTTGTTAAAAAAATATATTTATATATATAAAATAAGCTCTGGCTGGTTTAAGGAGTTTCTAGTGTGGTATAGAGGTTTTCACTTCCAGTTCTTTCCTCCAAAGACGGATCAGTTCTGCAACTGAACATCTTTTGGTGCGCTCAAGGTTTAGCTTGTTGTGAAATGTTGGTGTCATCTTGTTTTGATCCCGTTTCTTGCAGGAGAGCCGGGATTGCTCGTCGGTCAGATAAATCAACGGGATCCCCTGCGGCGGTTCGACGGCTACGTCAGCGAGAGGGCCACCAACAAGAAGATCGCTTACAACGTCCTTCGGAAAGGGGACCAGGCGTACCTTTCAGGTACTGTCGGTACGGATTGCAGACGTTCCCTGTGCCAGGGTGGTCTCGAGAGACCTAAATCTGGGATTTTTGAGAGGAATCGATGATCTTAAAGGTCTCTTCCAACCTAAATCTATGAACAGATGTGTTAGCGTTTGAAGTGCCAGCTGTCGAGCTGCTCTGGATTTAATCATTGAATCGTTTAGGTTGGAAAAGCCCTTTAAGATCACCCAGTCCAACCATTAACCTACACTACCAAGTCCACACTAAACCAATCAAGGGTAGATGAGACTGAACCATGTCCCCAAGTGCCACCTCTGCCCGTTTTTTGAACACTTCCAGGGATGGTGACTCCCCCACCTCTCTGGGCAGCCTGTTCCAACGCTTGACTACCCTTTCCATGAAGAAATTTTTCCTAATATCCAATCCAAACCTCCCCTGGCGCAGCTTGAGCGCATCTCCTCTTGTCCTATCGCTTGTTCCTTGGCAGAAGAGACCAACACCCACCTCACTACAACCTCCTTTCAGGTTAATAAAAAATTAACATTTCAAAGAGGGAGATTTTTTTTTTTTTCTTCTTCCCCCCTGTCCTTTTCCTGCCACTGCCTGTCTCCTATAACAAGGGGACGCAGCACACGGTGGTGGGAAGTCACCGAGGCAGTTCCGCGCTTCCCTGTGAAGAAAACAGCGCGACGCTGAGCAGAGGGCGGCGAGGCAGAGCGCTGACGAGCTTGAATCCTGAGGTGGTTTTTGGTGTCTCCTCTCCCCCGCCCAGGAGACGTGTTGGTGATGGACGAACTCGGTTACATGTACTTCAGAGATCGCAGCGGGGACACCTTCCGATGGCGAGGAGAGAACGTCTCCACCACGGAGGTGGAGGGAATGTTGAGTCACATCCTCAACCAGACGGATGCTGCGGTGTACGGAGTGGAAGTACCAGGTAAAACGTCGAGTCGGAGCTCTGGGGATTTAGGGAGAAAGGCAAATATTAGGCGAACGTACCAGATCTGTGTCAGAACGGGTAAAAATCCGGTCGCCTCTATGGTAACTGGGCACCCAAAAATGAAAAGAAATAATGGAGTCAAGCAGTGGAGTTTGACACGTTTATTCTGAGCAGCAGAAATAATGAGCCTCCAGTGGCGGAATCTTTATTTGTGTCTTTAACAAGGAAGGTTTTTACAACGTGAGCTTTGCAGAAGCTCTCGGTGTGCAAGGACCGTTCCGTGGGTGTGCCAGCCCTTAAATCTTCAAGTAACCCAGGAACAGGGGGTTGAGGAGGGCACGGGGATGGGGACCGAGTGGTCACGCGCGTGTCGTGGCATGTTGGCCAGAAAGGTGCCCTTCGTGGCGCTTTGCCCTGAATTTTTATCACGGCGTACGTGACAGAAACTTGATGAAAACAAGAATTGGATTAGCTTTCAGGGGCGGCCTCGATGAAGGGGCGAGGGGGAGGCGTTGGCAATGGACTCGGAGCCTCTGGTATTTGGTTGGGCTTTCCTCGGCATGTTTGCACTTGTCCTTGAAGGAGGAGGAAAATTCCTGCGCTTGCACCTCTAAACGTTTCGTACTTCTGCCGTCTCCACCCAGCTGTGCTCTTCTATTGCAGGGGTGGAGGGCAAAGCTGGGATGGCGGCGATCGCAGATCCCAAAGCTAAAGTCAACCCCAACGTCCTGTACCAGGAGCTGCAGAAGGTGCTGCCTCCCTACGCCCGGCCCGTCTTTCTCCGGCTCCTACCCCAGGTTGACACCACAGGTATCGGTGATCCGGCTGCTCCTCCAGGAAGGTTCAGATCCTGAAAGGAGCTTGGAAGCGTTTCCGCCCGCTTCGGGGCGAAATAAACATCCCAACTTCGAGCACGGCAGGCGCAGAAGTACCGCTAGTGAAAGTGATGATTGTAGTTAAGTCCTAAACAAGAAATCGGCTAGTTCCAGGCCCTTACAGAAAAGATCTCAGGCCCTTATAGAAAGATCAATCGATCGATCTATCTGTATCTTGGAACACGTACCCTCTAACTCTCTCGTACGCTCTCTGTTGCCTTTCCCGGGGCTTTGTTCCAGTACGGCTAACGGCCAAGTCAGCTGCTGTTTGGCTGCTGCGTTTTCTCTTTTCAATTTCCCAAGAATTTTACCGGGTCCTTTTACCAGCCCGTGCGTGAGGAGAAGTAAAAATTGCGCAAGGTTGGTGCAAGAACTCGGGTGAGGATCAGGATGGTTAACGAGCTTTGAGTTGCTAAAATTCTTAGGCAAAAAGTGTGAAGTGGAAATGAAACGCCACCCGTGGCATTTCCTCCTCACTCTGATGCTTGAGCAGGCTTTTTGATGCGAAGTATTTTTAATTTGTTTTTTTCCTCTTTTTGAAGGTACGTTTAAGATTCAGAAAACCCGCTTACAGAGGGAAGGATTCGACCCCCACCAAACCTCCGATCGCTTGTATTTTCTGGATCTAAAGTTGGGAAAATACGTTCCTCTGGATGAATGCCTTTATGAAAGGATTTGTTCTGGAAAAGCCGCTTTATGATCTAGTCGGATTCAGCCTTTTTCGAGGAAAACGATGACTAATCGGAGGGCTGACGCTTGCAGGAAGCGATGGATTCCTGCGAGGTCCTTACGCCGTCAAGCGCCGGCAGGGAAGCGCCTGGCGCGGCGTCTCCCTCCCCTAAAGCACATTAATTAACCCGTCACCCGCTCCCTCCCTGAGCGCTGACGTCCCATTAACCCGCCCTTACGCCTCTAGAGAGAGTATTTTTGTAACCACTACCCGCTTAGGGAGGATTTCGATGGCCATATTTATTTACGGAGATGCCTGTGCCCCACGGGGGCTTCTCTCTGCTCCGGCTCCCAACTTTACTCACCGACTTAGATGAGTTTTAACCTCACTCGTGTTAGATCACGTTTTAACTATCCGCGGCCTGCGCCCTTAGGGCTGGGGATGTGAGGACATTAAAAAGAGGAGAAAAAAAAGAGTTTGATGGGTGCTGTGGTGGAGGGGAGCGGCCCTTGGGTGTCCCCTCG